GCCACCCTTCCTTCATCACCATCAGCTCACCGGGTGGAGAACCAAGAGACAAGGATGTTTCTTACTGGGCCTGTAGTCCCAGCTGCTTGGGAGGCTGAGGCACGAGAATCACTCTGCGGTATGCTGCATGATTCCGGGGGTCACAGCCTTAGGTGGTTTCGCGATCTTCTGGAAATAACCGGGGGCCCGCTTCTGAAGTCTCTGCTGGGCTGCTGGGGATCTGGTCCCAATTCCCTTCCCTTCCCTTGCTGCCCCTGTAACAAGGGGCTGCCATGTGACATGATCTCCTCAGGCTTCAGAGAGGTGATTTTATCCAGAGCCACACAGGCGGGAAGACCATCAGCCTGGAAGGCGTGTGCGGGGTTGGGAAGAGGGGAAGGGCGGGAGCAGGGGCTGAAGCCTGGGTTGCCCCCCAGGGAATCAGTGGCCAATAAACAGCACTTGTAAACTTGAGCGTAGAAAACTGGATGAGACGTTTTTACGATGAAAGAAGCTTCTCCTTGAAGTCCCCGCAGAAGCCCCAGGAGCAGAGTGACAGGGACAGGTTTTGGGGAAGTCGGCTGGATGATACCATCATGGGGCTGCTAGAATCTGGGGAGACAGAGCTATTGGTTGGAAAGCCCCCGGGTATGAGGGCGATGTGCCACTTTGACAACGGCCTCGGCCTCCCCGTTTTTTGGGCTGAATAGCACAGAGGATGAAAACTTCTCACCTGGTTTTCTACACTCAAGTTTACTAGTGCCGTTCAGGAGCCCTGGTTATTTCCAGGGGAAGATCACCAAGGTACCCAAGGCCGAGACTGCTGAGATGGCACAGCATAACCTGGAGTCCCCAGCTCGATTTGCTCAGAACTCAGAAGGAAAACAGCCCACCCCCCTTGAACCTCAGGCACTGATGGAGGCATTTCCCAAAGGGCAATGACAAGCACGGCCAGGACCTCCCCTGCGCTCCTCGGTCTGACTCAAGCTGCTCCTCCACCCTCCTCACGGCTGCAGCTGAGACTGACGGCGGTCCAGGGCCACCCAGGAGAAGAGCTGGGTCAGGGCTGTGACCCGCCAGCAAGCATGAGGCCGAGCAGATGTGCCGGGCGGGCGAGAGGCTGGGGGCCGGGTGGGGGCTGGCTGCCCTGCGGCAACGGAGACAGCTGGAGGTGGGGCTGGGTGCGGCGATGAGTGTGCCCTAGGGTCTGGTTTCGGTTCCCATAGGACAGCCGCGGTGACAGAGCTGTGGCCAGCTGCTCCCTGGGCCGAGGGTGAAGGAAGCTGTGCTCCCACTGGTGCTACGGAGAGCTGCTGCAGGGCTGGGTGCCTGGGGGCTGGACTGCTGGGCTGGGTGCCTGGGGGCTGGACTGCTGGGGCAGGCTGCCTGCTGTACCCCCAAGCTGCAGTCAGGGCTCACCCTGAGGCCCTGAGGTGGAGAGAGCAGCTCGCTTGTACACACCCATGTGCACACAAGTGTACACACACACACACACACACACGCACACACACCGCGCTCTCACTTCATCCCTGAATTCTCCCTGACACAAAGCCAGTTCCTGGTTCTTCAGTCCCCCACATCCCTCTCTGCCTCTGAAGTCTCTGCTGGGCTGTGCTGGGGATCTGGTCCCAATTCCCTTTTCTTCCCTTGCTGGCCCCAGAGCAAAGGGCTGGCCGTGTGGCATGATCTCCTCAGCTTCAGAGAGGTGAGTTTACCCAGGGCCACACAGATGGGAAGACCACCGGCCTAGAAGGGGTATGTGGGGTTGGGAAGAGGGGAAGGGTGGGAGCAGGGGCTGAAGCCTGGGTCGCCCCTCAGGGAAACCCACTATCCTAGCAGGTCTGCCTCAGCCACTTTCCCAACAAACAACACGTCTCCCCTGACTGAACCCTGATGGAGGCAATGGTGGCGATGCCAGGCAAGAAGGCGGAGTTTGCTACCATGTGAGCAGGGAGAGCGCTGGACACAGACGCTGTGGGCGTTGAACAGGAGCCTTCACCCTTAAATCCACACTGATGGCCCCCTTCTCTTCCCCCAGTGAAGAACGAAGGACCCTGTGGGATTTCTATTTCAAATTTCTTATTTATTCGACATTCACTGGTTGTGACTCCAAGTTATCAAAGATTCAAGACAAGAAGTCTGTAGCAGGAGTGGTAAAGTGGAGGCGGAGGAAGACGGTGGGGAGAGCTGCGTTCCTGGCCCCTCCTTCTCTTCCAGTTTAGGGTGCCGTTTGAAAAGACTACAAAGAGTGTCCCTTAGCACAGACTAGACAGCAGAAAAGGACAGTGCAGCTGAGCGAGGGAAGCTTCCTTTTCCACAGCGTGGGCCCCTGCAGCTGCAGCGGGCAGGCAGGCAATCTTGAGCCTGGTTGGAGCCAGTGCCCTGAGCAGCGTGGCTATGTGGGGAAGAGCTGGGGCCCACCATCTCTCCAATGCTGCTAACCCAGATTCTGATTTGTGGGGTGGCAGGATTTCGCTAGGAAAGCGATAGGAGGGAGGGGATTGCACAGGATGCTTGCACTCAGGGACCCCATTGATCAGGGGCAAGAAGCAGGTGATAGTGAATCGGGTCTTGATTTTTACAAAGGCAGGATGTATGAATGATGTTATTTCTGGCGAGGAGGACGTGGCTGCTGTGGTTGATTGGCTATGGAATTCCAGGGGAGCAAGGCACTAGGAAGTGGGGAACTCTGCCGGGCCCAGCAGATCGTCAGGGGCTTGCACGTGGCGCAGTGAGGGCTGGCGGTGGGACGAGTGTGTTGAAGCTGCTGCCCTAAGCTGTCCCTCTGTGCCAGGAGACTGATGCCATTACCCCACCTACAGCTGCTTCCCGGTACAAGAGAAGAGTTACCATTAAAGGTGACTCCATAGGAGGGTCTGACAAACATGTTTGCTTTTCACTGACAACTAAAATTGGTTTGCTGCTAATCTTGTTTTATTGTGGTCTTTCATCCATCAGCAAGCATCCCTGCACACAAGGTCAGAAGGCTGGGTCAATACCTCCAGACCCTGCCAGGATTAGGGCAAGAGGGAGTGGCAGATCTTTTTTGGAAATTCTCACTTCCTAGAGCACTAAATGGTAATTAGTTTATCTGGGCAAACCACGTTTCCCCAGAGAAAATGGAGTCTCAGGGATCAGTGACTGGTCCTAGAGCTAATGAGTGACCAAAATGAGACCAGAGCCCAGTCTTTTTCTCAACTGAGGGCGCTTTGATTCCTGATTGAGATGTAAGGTGAAAGGTGCCTTAATCGTGGTGCAAAGGACGTGCGTTCCCCTCTTACCTCCCTGCTCCCTGCTCCCTCAGAGGCACCCTGCCTTTGTCAAATGCAGAATCAAGATTTCAGCAGGGGGTCCCTGCCCCTTCCCTGCCCCATCCTCTGCGAATTCAGTGACTCAGGAGTGGGAAGGGGGCGAGCTTCTGCAGGGCCACTGGAAAACTCATCAGGCATGCTCGCTCACCAAGCATAAGGCCACTGCCACGTTCTAAGTGGGAAGTCAGAATTGGAAATGAGGCTGGCGTGAGCCACAATGAACGGCTCGTCGCCAGAGACTGGGGAGTAGGGCGGCCACGTGGGGGCGACGAGCGTGGAATCCCACGGCTATGTCACGTCCCTCCCATCCTCAGGACGGTGCTGTTGCTCTGGGATGAAGGTCCCGCTCAACGGCGTCACGGGTGGATGCCCGAGGAGAATGCCGGGCCATGGGGGCGCTGACGTGGTTTCAGCCGCTGCAGCTTCACCCCACGGAGAGTCTGAGCTCTTCCTGGTCACCAGCCCGGTGGCTGCCATGGGGATTGGCCACGTTAACCGCCTTTCATTCAAGTTATTTGGGGATCAGACTTTCCTTTCTGGATGGTACATGGGAGACCTTTCCGCTCTGCAGCTCCTGAAGGTACAAAGCCCCTATTGCCTACCCCTGGTGACTGGTGTGTGTGTGTACACCCAGGAACTGGACTGCATCCACGCGAGCTGCTCGGGGTGGTGGGCTGGGCCGAGAGACAGTCAGCTGGTCTCTTCGCTAATACTAGACCTCTGGGAACAAAACGAAAAAGCTTCTCCAGCAGGGGGCGCTGGTTCCTAAGGCAGAGAAAGGATTTCGGGGAACACAAGGTTAGAGTCACTTTCTGGTGCCGTCCCCATAAGTCACCTTAGGCTTTAAAGTAAAATCGACGTATTCCACGAGGAAGGGGGCAGGCGACATGTGATACGCTCAGGAATCAACGTCCCTACGGGAGCAGCGACAGTGACAGCAGTAGCTATGGTAACCAACGTACAAAAGTGGGTTGTGAACTAGATCTTGGATACCAGCCCTGTTCTCGCCCCTCCCCTCGCTTCTCCAGTGCTGGAATCGCAGCTCTCCCTTCTCCCCCTGCCCTCTGTCCCCTTCTCGTAGGCACGGATGCTTCATCTCCCAAGGACCCTGGAGGCCTCCAGAGGCTTTGCTGAGCTTTCTGCGCTGCTCCTTTGTGCAGTCTAGCAAAGCCAGGAGCTGGGCACGCTGCAAGGGTTGTGGTGCTGCTGGGGCTGCCGGAGGAGTGTCCCAACCGAGAACCTGGCGAAGCTGCAGACTTAACCTAGCAGACCCCACGTCTGGGCCACGGAGTTGGAGCCAGGCCCTGTCCTGGTTCTCAATGCACTCAAAAGCTTAAATCCTAGTAAACCCTCCACTGTGGAGTAAGAAAAGCCAAAGAAGGCCGGGCGCGGTGGCTCACGCCTGTAATCCCAGCACTTTGGCCAAGGCGGGTGGGTCAAGAGGTCAAGAGATCCAGACCATCCTGGTCAACATGGTGAAACCCCGTCTCTACTAAAAATACAAAACATTAGCTGGGCATGGTGGCGCGTGCCTGTAGTCCCAGCTACTCAGGAGGCTGAGGCAGGAGAATTGCCT